CAGTATCATCTGTTGTGAAAGAGCTACACAGGGCCAAAGATTTTGTTCTTGGTAATAACTGCCGCATTAAGTTTAATGGCATACCTATTTATTTAGTTTCCCTGTACAACGATATCAAGGGGCATCCGAATCCAACAGTATCCCTCGACTCGGACAAAGAAGTTGAGATACAGGTAGATCTCCTCAATACACATATTGAACAGATAAACCAAGGCCTAGGTCGAAACACATATCAGACGGTTTGCATCCAGGCCATCTATTGTCCCAGAACTGGTTACGGCGACTCGAGCTTGACATTATTAGGGAGTGTTACACCCCATGTGATGCACTTGAAGTAGATGAACAAGAATTCCTCTCATTCCAACATGGCGAACAAGGCCGAAAACACTGATGATGAAATAATAAAGAATACTGACTTTACACAACGTGACAGTGGAGTAGTGACTGACAATAAAAATGAGGAAGACAATTCTTGGCTGCACAAGACACTTGAGCCTTTCCGTTCTTCTTTTGACAGACAGCAGCAACATAATCAAGAATTATTTGCACAGACTATGCAAGAAATAAAAGAATCTTCCACAAAACAAATCGCTATTCAACAAACTATGTTTCAGAAATTTCTTGAGGAATCGAAGGAGGAGATAAGTCATTCTCTGAGAATACCACCATTTGCTTCAACCCCAAGGCCACACGCAGCTTCGGGATTGATGCATACTGGACAGTATCCGCCAGTTAGTTCCCAGATTTCAGATGTTGCACCAACCCCAAGCTCACAAGGTCATGCAACTTCTTGGTGGACACCTTCATCTCAGACACCCTCATTTGCTGGTTATGCACCCGACTTCCCCTCAGACCGAAGGGGAACAGACCGACCGTTTGATGAAACCTTTCGTGTCATTGAGGCTAGGGAAGGACAACAACCCTCTCCTTATCAACCTAGCTCCCGAGGTGTATCTAGATCCTCAGAGAACAACCAGGCTGCACCAAAAGGTCCACAGACTAAACTCCCGACTTATGAAGGCAAGGAAGAAATTGAAGTTTTCCTTGTTCCATTTGAAAGACTAGCCGAGCGGTATAACTGGACGGAAACCGAGAAAATAGACCGCCTCTATGAAAGTCTGAAGGGTAAGGCAATGTGGTATGTTTGCTCCTTGCCCAAAGCGATGACAGCCAACTACATCTCAATACGTGATAGCCTAACTAAACGCTTCGGGCGGAAGGAACCTCCAGCCACTGTTCGCAGGAAACTGGCCGAGATCCGACAAAAGGGAGAGTCAAATGATGAGTTTGGTGAAGAAGTGCGTCGCTTAATTACCCAAGCTTATCCTGGTACTGACTTGGAAATGCAAGATCAACTTGCTGCAGAATCTTTCTTAAGAGGATATCGTAATTCCCGGATTGCATATGATGTGCTAAACAGAAACCCTAAGACACTAAATGAAGCGATAGAGCTTGTCACATATCAAGAGCACAATTACAGAGCCACTGTTGGACGAGTTAATGTCTATCAGAGGCGAGAAAGGACTAGGAGGGTTACCTGGACAGATGATTCTGATTATGACGGTCCTCCTGATGATGAGGCAGAAATTCTTGGAGTGCAGCGGATTCAAAAACCAACATATATTACCATGGAGCAGCTAGACCACCGTCTTAAGCAAATAGAGACGCAACTTAAACGGAACAAGGAGAAAGAGAGAATGAGACGAGACAACCTACTAAGGGATATAGAAAGTAGATTTTTTCAATGTGGACAGACTGGGCACTTCAAAAGTGACTGCAAATCTCGACCCCAAACAGTCAAATTGCAGGAACAGAAAATGCCGAGAGTAAAGGAAGAGACATCAAAGACAGCAGAACAAATCAAGTGCACAAGGCTTTATGGTGCTGGGAAAGGAATCGTAGTCCCTGTCTTTGTGAATGATGTCCAGACCAAAGGTGTTGTGGATACTGGTGCGGATGCTACTATTGTCTCTTCAGCCATTGCCCAAGAGGCAGGGATTGTTACGAGTAACTGCAAGCAAGTTCGACTCATGAATGCGGAAGACGGTGCAGAGATGACTGCATTTGGAGGTGTCACTGCGACAATCCAAATTGGCAGCCAATCAACCCACTGGCCAGTATATGTTGCACGAATACGGGATTCTGTTTTGATTGGAATGGATATTCTCAACTCCCTAGAATCTGTTATATTCACAGGTCAAGGTAACCTTCGCATTGGAAAAGAAATAATATCTGGAACCCTGAGCTGTGATAACAGTTACCCAGCTTGCAGCTCTGTAATGGTCGATGAAAGCTGTTGGATACCTCCTCAGAGTGAGAAGATTATTGTTGGAAGAGTACAAGTACCCCAAAGTGGTCTATTGTCTGTCTTGGATAGTTGCAATGATGATCTTCCTAATGGGGTTATGGTTGGATCTTGCTTAGTCAATATGAAGGACAAAATACCTGTTCGGGTTTTAAATGTACGAGATAAGAAAATTCGCCTTGTTAAGGGAACCCATTTGGGGAAGTTGACAGAAGTCTGTGAGGATGCTGATGCAGTTATTGAAGATGCAGCACATCAAAGTGAATCACTGTTGAAGAAATGATGGGCAGACAAGCTGAAAATGGAACCGCACCAGCCCACCTAGTAGAGCTGGCAGAGAAATCATCCAAGAATATGACAAAATCGGAACAACAGGCACTGTCAGCTTACTCTCTGAATTTGAGGATATTTTCTCTCGAGAGGACTATGATCTTGGCACTTTTACTGCAATTAAGCACCAAATCAACACAGATGGAGCAAAACCTATCAGACAACCTGCGAGGCGAACACCTCTAAGTTTCCAGAGTGAAGAAGCTGAATATTTGAAAAAACAGTTGGAAAATGGTGTAGTAATTCCCTCAAGCTCTGCGTGAGCATCTCCTGTAGTGTTAGTCCGCAAAAAGGATGGTGGAGTACGCTGGTGCGTGGACTATCGGAAGCTAAACGAAGTCACACAGAAAGATGCATATCCCCTACCTAAGATTGAGGAGTGTCTGGACACTTTAGGGGGTTCCAAACTGTTCTCCACACTTGACCTTATGAGTGGGTATCACCAATTTGAAGTTCTTGAAAGTGACAGACCAAAGACTGCATTTATTACCAGGCATGGCTTGTTTGAATACACACGAATGCTTTTTTGGGCTCTGCAATGCGCCCTCTACCTTCCAACGAGGAATGGAATTGGTTTTCAGAGGACTTCAATGGATCATCCTTCTTATCTACCTAGATGATGTAATCATCACGGGGAGTACATTTCATGAGCACCTAAGTAATCTAGGAAAGGTGTTCCTCAGATTTCGAGAATTTGGACTAAAGTTAAAGCCTAAAAAATGCAGCTTATTCCAAGAGGAGGTCATATTTTTGGGTCACGTTGTAAGTAAAAATGGGGTTCGAGCTAATCCTTTGCTGATTCAAGATGTGCAGAGATGGCCAATTCCAGGAAGTCTTAATGAGCTCCAAGCCTTTTTAGGGTTGACGAACTACTATCGCAGATTTGTGAAAGGGTATGCTGATATAGCCCGTTCATTACACAGCCTCACACGCAAAGGTGTACCGTACCAATGGGGTGAAGAACAGGCGACAGCGTTTGAGGAGCTAAAAATTGCACTTACTTCAGCTCCAGTCCTTGCTTACCCACTTGCTGAGGGTACAATGATTCTCGACACAGACGCTTCTAATTTCAGCATAGGAGCGGTGCTCTCCCAGGAACAGGATGGCGTTGAAAAGGTGATTTCTTTCTCCAGCAGACGCCTAGCTAGGACCTGTACAGGAGCGATACTGCGTCACTCGACGAGAATTGCTGGCAGTGGTTGCCTTTTGTCACCAGTACAAGCATTATCTTTTAAGCAGAAAATTCCTACTCTGAACTGACCACAGCAGTTTGGCATGGTTATTCCGCTTTAAATCACCTCAAGGTCAACTGGCTCGGTGGCTCGAGGAATTGAGTCAGTATTCTTTTGTCATTCAGCACCGAACAGGAAAATCTCACGGTAATGCAGACGCCTTATCTCGGCTAGATACGACAACTTGTGATTGTTACAGTGCTGGGACTTGCTGTACGTCGTTACCTTGTGGTGGGTGTGCATGCTGCCAGAGAGTTGAAGAGCAGTGGGAGAGATTTACAGCGGACGTTGATTATATTGTACCATTGACAGTTCGTGAAGTAACACCCTCTGAACCTGCTACCTGTAACTGGTTGGAAAAGGAGGATTTAAAAACTGCACAATCTGAGGACAAAGAAGCGCAACTAGTATCCAACTGGTTGTTACATGACAAACCAGAGTCCAGTGATGTAAGAATCCTCGGTTCCGCAGCAAGGAGTTATTTCCTCAATCTTCAACAGTTTCATCTGGTCAATGGGATACTCCACTATGAATGGTTGCATGATTCAGGCACACGGTCACTGCGACTGTTTGTGCCAAAATCACTCAGGAGGAAAGTAATAGAGAGCTGTCATGATCCACCATACTCTGGACACCAAGGTGAAAGAAGAACTCTCGACAGGGTCAAACGCAGCTTCTATTGGTATGGTCTGACAGCAGATGTCCTGCACTATGTATCAAGTTGTGCCACATGTGGTATGGAAAAGAGAGCTTCTCGTAAAAGCAAAGCAGCAATGCAGTCCTTCATTTATGGTGCTCCACTAGACCGTTTGCATATTGATGTAATTGGCCCATTCCCTTCAAGTTCAAGTGGCAATAAGTACATTCTGGTAATAACTGACCAGTTCACCAAATGGGTGGAGGCGTATGCTGTCCCTGACCAGTGCAGTGAGACAACAGCAAAAAAGCTTGTGGAGGAATTCATAGCTAGGTTTGGCGCCCCTCTTGAGATCCATACAGAACAGGGCAGAAACTTCTAAAGTGACCTCTTCAGGACTGTGTGCAAATTGCTAGGAGTTGCTCAAACAAGGACCACACCGTATCATCCTTCCTCTAAAGGTCAGGTTGAACGCTTCAATAGGACTGTTTTGCAAATGATCCGGTGTTATGTCGACAAAGAGCAGAAAACTTGGGATGAACAGTTGCCTCTCTTACTTTCTGCATACCGAAGCACTCCACACAAAGCCACAGGAATATCCCCAAACTTTATGATGTTGGGTAGAGAGGTACACCAACCTGCAGAACTAGTTTTTAAGGACTCAGACACAATCCGAGACCCACTGGATACCCAAACATACATTGAGAAGCTTAAACATGCTCTGAGTACAGCCCATGATGTTGCGCGGAAATCACTTCAGCAGGCGCAGATAAAGCAAAAGCGTCTTTATGATCTGCGCATTTCCAGCAAACAATACGGAGTAGGTGACTTGGTTTATGTCAACAAAATGGCGAAACAGGTGGGTAAGTCGCCCAAGTTGCAATCTGTTTGGGAGGGGCCTTTTATCGTCAAAACGAAATACGGACCTGTTTTATACGAGGTAAAAGGACGCAAAAAGTCGGCTGTGATTCATCATGATCGTCTTAAGGCATATACCTCCGATTTCGTACCAGGCTGGGTCAGTAGGTACACTCCCCCAGAGCAAAACGACCTGGAGACCATACAGGAATGTCAAGGCGAAGTGAACGGTGAGACAGACAGAGCGCCTGAAGAAGAAAAAATGGACTCAGATGATTCTCTGGAGACGTCTGAGGAGATTATTGCTGGACAAGAAACGAGGCCACTGCGGACTCGAGCTGGCCGTGAAATACGTCGCCCAAGTCGGCTTAACCTTTATGGACTTAAAGGAGCCTAGAGGGGGGCAGTGTGGTGAAAATGGACTAGTTTTATAGACTCCTCTTATTTTCTATTTTTACAGTGTTCTTTTTTGGTTATCTCCCGTGACATTTACGCGGGCTATACTGTACACAGAATACAAGTACATTTTGTGGCCAGCTCGCGTTTGTTGTTTATTCGCTATATATTGGCGATATTTGTGGTGCCGACAGCAAAAAGCACTTCAATAACAACAGTATCAGATACTAGTGTACCAGAAATAAGGGAGAGAGAAAATCCGAATTGGTTAGATGTTTGGAGTAATGGAGAAATTTTAGAAATGCAATTAAACGATCCAGGGATAAAACAAATCTTGGAAACAAGATGGGAGAACAGTACCCCCTGAGAATGAAATAAGTACTCTCAATGATGAGGCTAAGTCACTTTGTGCAATGTGGAAAATGCTCAGCATATCAGATAATCTGCTCTATCTAAAGGGAGAAAACACTTTGGGTATCCAAATTTCAAGACTTGTCGCGCCCCGAGATATTAGAAATGTGTTATATCAACATTTACATACCAACAGAACTGGGAGACATTTAGGTAGAGATAAGATGATTGAAGCAATAAAACGGCGATTCTATTGGCCTAAACAAAATGATGATGTTAGACGATGGTGTGAACAATGTGATGGGTGTGCCCGGGGAAAACCTGGCCCTGGTTTGGGGAAATCTCCATTAAAGCAATTTCCTGCTAGTGCCCCTATGCAAAATGTAGCAGTAGACATAGTTGGCCCATTGCCTATTACAGACAAAAATAATGAATACATAATTGTTTTTGGGGATTAATATACTAAGTGGAAGGAAGCATTTGCTGTACCTAATCACACTGTGGTAACAGTAGCCGACAAACTGGTCACTGAAGTATTTTGTAGATTTGGCTGCCCAGAACATATTCATACTGACCAGGGGAGGGAATTCGAGTCTGAACTGTTTAGTTGTATCTGTGACCTCCTTGGTGTTCATAAAACTCGCACGACCCCATACAGACCCCAGTCAGATGGGCTCGTAGAACGCTTTAATCGTACCCTCATTCAGATGCTTTCAATTTGTGTTGATTAAAATTTTCATAGCTGGGATGAACATTTGCCCTATTTGTTAATGGCTTATAGATCTACAGAACATAATAGCATCAAGTGTAAACCAAATCTCCTTATGCTTGGTAGGGATATTAACTGCCCTCTTGACTTAATGGTTTGGTTAAACCCCAGATCAAAGACAAGTTAGATGTTCAGTTCAGTATGTAAAATGGGTACAGTCAGTTATAAATAAATCATTTGAGCTGGCTCATAGTCAGTTGGGAAAAGCAGCAAATAGACAAAAGAAGGGGTATGACCAAAATCTTAAACCAAGGTCTTTTGAAATTGGTAATTAGATGTGGCGATGGTACCCTCCAAAAGCTGGTGTGAAATTGGGGTTTGGTTGGACAGGCCCATACTTAGTAGTAAATGTTATTTCATAGGTGACCTGTTCTATTCAAAAATCCCAACAATCTCCCGTGGTTAATGTTCACAAGGACCATTTAAAACCATATAAGAGTACAAATCATCCCATGTCTTCGCTAGGTGACCAACTTCCAAACAGTCCTGTAATAGAAGAATAATATGAAGGTGAATTAGGGGATTTACAAGAGATTAATCGTCCTGGGGATTCTGTTCAGCAAACTCGTAGAGGCAGGGTTGTGAAACCCAGGGAGATTTATTCCCCTTGATTAATGATATAGTTAGCCGGGTAGTGATATAGAGGATTTCTTTTGTATATATTGGTAAAACTTCAAGTGTATTATATACAGTATGAGTATTTTGGTTTTAAGTTTACATATGCGTGAGTTTTATTGAATATATGTATATGTCTGTACGTTATATAAACTAGTTTAAATTGTTAGATTATGCAAACAATAACTTAGTTAATTAAATAGCTTATAAAACGCGTAAAATTTGTAAGATTGCCCTGACAGTGCCTATCCTCTGTCAATCATGTTGACAAATTAGGGTACTGACTGATCTGTTACTAAACCGCGTAAATTTAAATCGCGTAAAAAAGACATCCTATATAAGCATAATTAATAAATGGTTGAATGACTTGCATGCAAGAATGGTGAAAATGAGTGTTTATTTAGTCAATAATATTAATATTTTTGATGATTTAAAGAAATATTTACTTTGAAATGAATTTACAAGTAAACTTGTAGGTAGTATATATGAAAAATGCTAATTGATATTTATGCTTATGATTTTTTTTCATAGTACAATGGAGACTTTACAATTGGCGGTTCAGGAGTCGGAGCTTAGAGATCTGGAAATGGACAGAGTGGTTTTTCCTCTGGAAGGAATGGCTTGTTGTGTTCAAGGTTGCGACAGCATTGTTTACAAGACCTTCAAAAAATATATGGAACATTGGAAAGCTAGGCATGTGCCGACTGTTCCTAAGTTTGGATGTGTCGTGTGTCGGCGGCAATTCAATACTAGACCGCATGCCATATCATGTATTAAACGGCATCCTTATGATGGTGATTTTTTAAGTTACTTGCTGGTAACGCGAGTGCCAAATAGTGATTTAATTGACCCAAAAGGAATTTCACCTCCTAGAAAAGGATCCCCTAGCGAAATACAGTGTATGTAAAGAAATATAGAGCCAGAAGAAGCCGCTAAGGAAAGGAGAAAGTCTGTGAAAAATTGTGTTATTCATCAATATGAAGAAATGCTTTCTCGCGACAATCCAGTAAATATGGTGTATAGTGAAAATAGTGTAACAGCTGTTATTTCTTTCGATGGGAGACAAGTGGAATATGTGCCACCACTATCTGAGATGGGCATTTATATTAAATCTTTAAATTAATTATGAATTATTGTACATCCATGATAAAGTAGTATTTACATTTTATATTTATTCGCAAAGTATAACCTTGCTTTGAAAGGGGGAAGGGGGTATTCAATATTTTTGAGATTTTTTTTTCCTTCTAATTTTATAGTCAAATGTATAACATTTGTCTTATAGGGGGGATGAATGTGACAGATTAGGTTTATTTACGTTTTCATAATTATTTCATTTCGATCCCGATGTAAATTGTCCACGTTTTATTTGGAAACACCCACTTTTATCTTTCGGCCAATAAGGTTTTTGACAGTTTCTTTTGTTCCTTTTTCATATATAAAGCTATGTAACTACTAGATCGGGGAGGGAGACAGCTGGCTTCGCTAGCTAAACTCTTCATATACTGGAATCGTTCCTTGTTCGTCTGTCTTAATTAAATTATATTACTACTTAGGTTAGACTATATTTGGGTTAAGTTAGGCCATATTTGGGTTTGGGAAATAAGGTCTTCATATTGTGTACTATTATAACGTACTGTAAGATTGGTAATAAATTGTAAAGTCTTGTTAATCTTATTTTCTTTTATAGTTCATTACAATTTACAAATATTTCCAAGGTATATCTATTGTAGAGGTCTTATATCCAGAAAGTCGTCTCAAAACAAAAACTAGTGCTAATTGTAACGGGGACCGTTACAGATGTTCCCCAAACGCTCCCCAACTCCCTTTTGGTGCCATATTCCCTGTAATTTCTATTAAATAAGAAATACTTTATGGAATTTAGACTTAATCAAGATCTTCCCAGAAAAATACAAAATATATTTAAAAATAGGCATTGCACGCGTGTCCTTGTGCGTAACGACCATATAATCTTGTCTAAACTACCTTAAATTTTAGTATACTTAATATCAAAGCATTTAATCCAAAAGTATTAAAAAAATACACTCATTCGAGTGTACTTTTAATTTTACTGATTTCACGTGCACGCACGTGCATAATGACTACACCTTCTTGTACGAGTCCCTTATATTTATCTATGTTCTAAATCCCATCCTGTTTGGTTGAAAAACAAGGGAGTTATAGCCATTTGAAGTTTCAGCCAATCAGATTGCAGCACACATGCATGCGCGTGATTTCATATATTTTTATCTTTATCGTATTGAAGGATATCTAAATGAATGACTATATTTTAAAATTCCAAACATTTTGTCAAAAAACAAAGGAGATATAGCCATATAAAGTTTCAGCCAATCAGACTGCAGCACACGTGCATGCGCGTGATTTCATGAATTTTTTTCTATATCATATTTTAGGATATCCTAATGCATGACAATGTTTTAAATTTCAAAGCATTTCTTCAAAAAACAAAGGAGATATAGCCATTTAAAGTTTCAGACAACCAGATTGCAGCACGTGCGCATGCGCATGCTTTTATGAACATTTTTATATATCATGCTGTAGATCTTCATAATGTAGGTCTATGTTCAAAATTTCAAAAGATTACGACACGAAACAAGAAAGATATTGAGACTTTAGTTTCAGCCAATCAGAGCGAAGCACACGTGCATGCGCGTGAGATCTTGCTATTTTGACCATGCCATCTTGTCTATACTACTAATATATCCTTACATTATGGGTTTAAAAAAAATTCATCAAAAAAAGAAAAGTTACAGCAATATCCATTATATTGGTCATTTAACGAATTGCACGTGCGCGCTCTTGCAAGCACGTGCGCGCAAAATGACCTTGACTAGGCAAATCTACATAACATGTCTACTAACCCTAAAAAGGTTTTACCTACATCGGATGAACAGTTTACAAGATCATTCCCGGACAAAAAAGTACCCAGGAAGAAGAAGAAAAATAATAATAATAAGAAACAGAGTAAAAACAATATGTTCCCCAACTTCGTTTGGGGAACATAATAAACACAACGCGAAGTACAGGCTATATGAACACCAGACCTGCTACAATCGAAATAAAAAAAAAACACGATACACGTGTGCCAAGTTCCATTGAAATAAGACCAGAACTGTAGTGGGAGTAGCATTTTGAAAATTTGTTTACAGACAGATGGAGGCCAAACGCATTACTATCGCAGGTACTGTTATTGTATCTCTTAAATTCATTATTTCGAATAAAATAGGATCGAGTTAATCTCTTCCTTG